CTACCATTGTCGTGGGAGACCCTGATCAAGCTCCTGGCTCCTGTCTTTGTCCTGGCCCAGCACTCTCCATTGCAGCCATTTGGGGAGTGAGCCAGCAGATGGAAGATTCCCTCTCTCTCTCTGACTTCCAAATAATTAAGTCTTTTTTAAAAAAATGAACCCACAGTCCAAAATTATAAAGCATAGAGGAAGCAATCTTTAGTAACCAGCCTCAGCCAGCACAACAAACATCACAGCATCACCATGCCCTCCCCTCCCTGTACTCAAAAAAAAAAAAAAAAAGAAAAGAAAAATACAATGACAACAAAATAAATCTGTTTAAAATACTCAAGTGTATGAAAGGGATTTTAGAACACAAGAAAAGAGCAAGACATTCTCTCTAAAAAGTTGAATGATAGTTTTCAAACAGAGTAAAAAGTGTTTACAGCTGTGGAAATCTAGTTTTGTTATTTTTTTTAATTAAGATTTTTTTAAGATTTTATTTATTTATTTGTGAGAGTTACACAGAGAGAGGTCTTCCATCTGATGGTTCACTCCCCAATTGGCTGCAACAGCCAACTGGGTGCAGGTGCCCAAGAACTTGAGCCATCTTCTGCTGCTTTCCCAGGCCACAGCAGAGAGCTGGATCGGAAGTGAAGCAGCCGGGACTCAAACTGGTGCCCATATGGGATGCTGACATTGCAGGCGGCAGATTTACCAACTATGCCACAGCACCAGCCCCAAGATTTATTTTATTTATTTGAAAGGCAGAGTTAGAGAGAGACAGAGATCATCCATCAGCTGGTTCACTCCCCAAATGGCCACAACAGCAGAGGCTGGGCCAGGCCAAAGCCAAGAGCTTCTTTCAGGTCTCCCATGTAGGTTCAGGGGCCCAAGAACTTGGGCCATCTTCCACTGCTTTCCCAGGCACATTAGCAGGGAGCTGGATCAGAAGTGGAGCAGCCAGGACTCAAACCGTCCCCCATTGTTTTGTTTTGTTAATCTATTTATTTGTTAATTTTAGAGAGAAAGCTCCCATTCTCTGATTCACTCCCCAAAGGCCTAATGACTAAGATTGGTCAAGCCAGTCTCCCATGTGACTGGCAGGAACTCAATTACCTGAGCCATCTTCACAACCTCCCAAGGTCTCCATTAGCTGGAGTCAGGAGCCAGAGCCACATATCAAACCCAGGTACTATGATAGGAGATACAGACCTCTTAGCCTCTAAGGCTACATGCGCTTCTCCAGTTAGGTATCATTACGAGGAACTAGCAGTCACAAAACGGGAAGGAGAATGAATGGGGAGAAATGAGAAGGCTTGAGTCATGAAGTGCATTGTGTACTAGGCAGGACTTCGTTTGCAAGTGACAGAAGAAAGTACATTTGTCTGGGGAGTACTTTGTTGGTGCTGCCTCGCCTAACCAAGAAAGGCAGGGATAGAGCTGAAATACAAGAACCAGAGACTCATTCTCTTTCAGTCTCTCACCACCGCGTTTTCTTTATGAATGCTTCATTCTCTCCTGCAGACTTGTTTTCTACAAGAAATAGAAAACAATGTCTCTTGTAGTTTGGGGCTCAAACTCTTTAGCTTTCCTTTTTTATTATGATGAAATATACATAACCATATTAACCATCTTGAAATGTACAGCTCAGTGTTATTAAGTCCATTCAGCATCGTTGTACAACCATCATCTATCTATGTCCAGAACTTTTCCACCATCCCAGACTGCGACTGTGTTGCAGTAACTTCACAGTACTTCAGCGTAACTCTGCATGCTTTGCTCAGCTGGTCCCTGGTGGCCAGTATTCTGTGGATTTGACTACTATAGATACCTTGTGTGATTACAGTGTCTTCTTTGCACCTGTGCTGTTCCACAGTGTGCAGAGAGGAAAGGACCTTCTCTGTGCCTACCCTAGCTCCTGAGAGAAGACTCCGGTTTTGGTGCAGCAGTTAGGATGATGCCTGGGATGTCCACTTCCCACATTGTACCTGTGTCAAATCCTGGCCCTGCTTTCAGTCCCCACCTAGTGCTAACTGCACCTTGGGAAGCAGCAGGTGATGGGTCAAGTGGTCAGATCCCTGCCATCCACATGGGAGTCCCCGGTTGGGCTCTGACTTCTGGGTTCAGCCTGGCCCAGCCTCACCAATGACAGGCATTTGGGAATTGGGAAGGGAACCAGCAGATGGACGATCTAGTTAACATATCCCTCCTCTTCCATCCCTCCCTCCCCCCCCCAATAAAATGAAAATAAATGTGAAAAGCAAATATGGGGTATGCAAGAGTAGTTTGGTTTCAGTCATAATATCACACTGTCCCAGTTACTCATCAGAGCAGTTTGGCATGTATTCTTAATTACCAGGGACATTGTAGTAACCATGCATATTAGGAACTGCATCTCAAATTCTGACAGCCTACTTTTCATCTGTCCATTACCTAATTGCTACTCATGTAATGTAATCAGCTGCTCTCAATTTAAGAGGTAGCATTGCAGAAGGATTCTCATCTGTGTTCTAATTAGTACATGTACGTTATATTAGAATATCTTGGTTTTATAAAAAATTTTAAATAACTGAAAAGTTGGAATTTCCTGACTAATCTGTAGGAACTTTTGGATTTCTTCTAAAACTTTGCAAGCTTTGGAATCACATTTCTTTATGGTATCTGGTTAGGGAACCAAGACCCTTTAACAGGAAGTAGTCTTTGATTATGCTGGCATACAACCCAGGTGGAATTTCTTATCCAAAAGCCTGAGCCCCGAACAAAGAGGGGTATTTCCTTACCTATGGTTTTAGCCTCTTTGTCTCCATTATATGGCTATATGGGTACATTTGATTGAGTATTCTTGTGTTACGTAGCGGCCACAGGCATTGATGCAATACTGTGCATGTGTACATAGTTACACTTGAGCAGTAAGTTGTCTGGCAAGGGTTAACACCACTGCTCTGTACTGGCAAGCAGAACCTGAAATGCTCACATCTGAGCAGATAGGGACTACATTGGAAGCATTCATAGGCAAGCAAATAACAACCACTTGTTTGTTTGTTTGTTTGTTTGTTTTTGACAGGCAGAGAGTGGACAGTGAGAGAGAGAGACAGAGAGAAAGGTCTTCCTTTTTCCGTTAGTTCACCCCACAATGGCCACTGCAGCCGGCGCACCGCGCTGATCCAAAGCCAGGAGCCAGGTGCTTCTCCTGGTCTCCCATGGGGTGCAGGGCCCAAGCACTTGGGCCATCCTCTACTGCCCTCCCAGGCCACAGCAGAGAGCTGGCCTGGAAGAGGAGCAACCGGGACAGAATCTGGTGCCCCATCCGGGACTAGAACCAGGAGTGCCGGCGCTGCAAGGCGGAGGATTAGCCTAGTGAGCCGCGGCGCTGGCCACAACCACATTTCAATCCCAGGACAGATACCTCCCTTTTTCTTCTGACCCTAGGAAGGCTTCTACCACAAGTTTAATCATGTCAGTTAGAAACACGTTTAGTTAAAAGACAAAGCCTTCTACAACATTATTAGCCTGGAATTTGTGATTCTTTGAAAAGGCATTAAAAGGATACTAAGTTGGGGCCAGCATTGTGGTGTAGCCACCTTCGTAGTATAACAAGTTAACAAGTTAAGCCACACCTCTGCAAAAGTTGGCATCCCATGTGGGTGCCAATTCAAGTCCTGGCTGCTCCACTTCTGATCCAGTTTCCTGCTAATGCACCTGGGAAAGCAGTGGAAGACAGTCCAGGTGATTGGGACCCTGCACCCATGTGGGAGATTCAAATAAAGCTTCTGGCTCCCAGCTTCTGCCTGGCCCAGCCCCAGCTGTTGCAGCCATTTGGCAAGTGAATCAGCAGATGGAAGATATTCTCTCTCTCTCTCTCTCTCTCTCTCTCTCTCTCTCTCTCTCTCTCTCTTTCTCTCTCTGTAACTGCCTTTCAAATACATAAATCTTAATAAAAAAAAAACCTACTATGTTGTCCTTGTTTATCCTGTTGTGCACACTGCTGTCTGGTCTTACCCACCAAGGTTTACTGTGATGAAAATCCTGATTTTCCAATTGTCTTCCTTTGTGTTTTAAGAATATCCTGTCTGTTTAATGCACTAGGAGTGCTTAAATAACTACTTCTCAGCTGTATGCAAACAGTGTTTAATTTTCCTTAAGAAAGCATTTATGTTTCTTTAACAAGTTCTCATTTCTCACTTGGAAGAGAGGATGCCACTACATTTAATCAAAACTATTTTATTAGATCTGATAATAAAAGTTTTTGAAGATTTATTTCTTTGTTTGAAAGGCAGTGTGACAGAAAGAGAGAGATACAGAGACAGAAAAATTACCCATCTGCTGGTTCATTTCCCAAATGGCTGCAACAGCCGAGGCTGGACCAGCCCAAAGGCAGGAGCCAGGAATTCCATCCGGGTCTCCCACGTGGGTGACAGAGACCCAAGTACTTGAGTCATTGTCTGCTCCCTTTCCAGGCACGTTGGCAGGGAGCCAGATTGGAAGCGGAGTAGCCAGAATTCAAGCCAACACTCCAGTATGGATGCCAGCGTCAAGCAGCAGCTTACCCCATTGCGCCACAGTGCCTGCCCGATCCAAAACTTTTAAGTCATTTATGGTTTAAAATAGTTGTATTTCAAATAAATTCCCACTTTAAAAAAATGCACTGTTACTGTAAATCATAGACTCCTTAGATTTGAGAACAAGTTTAGGAAGAAGCATTCTAATACTGACCAATATAAATGATACATTTTGTCACTAATTGAGGAACCAATTGGTCACATTTTAAGGGGTTCCCTTTGGTTTATTGCGAGCACTGGTTGTTCTGTCACTGTGCTGAGCATGTTACCATTCTGTTCTGTTCTTCAAGGTAAAAAGCTTGGCTAGAAGTTACTGTTCGCCTCAAAGAACTGAGGGCTTGCTTTCCTGGGTCTGATGAACCTGTGGAAGTTTGCTGTAGCAGATGCGTTTGTTTTAGTTTGTGTGCTTTCATACTTTTGCAGGTACTTAGACTTCTAAAATGTTTGTTTCTTTTACAGGACAATGAAGGTCAAACAGCTCTACATTATGGTAAGCTATTTCTAAATTATTAAATAATCAAACTTGAATATTTTCTTATTTACCTCAACTTTGTGTAACCAACCCTCAGAAAATCACCTGGCACCTAGCAGAGATAGCATGCTTTTTTGCTGTTAATCTAAAAAGTAGATCAGTAACCTATAAAATCGGAGTTGTGTTGAAATTAAGCATTTCTGCTCTATGCACAGGAATGGAGGTTCCTCCAAGCCCCTGTTGACGTTCGTTACTTCACTCTTGGGACTGTCAGTGAACACTGTCACTGCGGCGTCTAGTGTGTCTCCTGTGAGAGATTCTTTCTGGATCTACAGTAGTTTACCTTGATTCATGATTTTGCTTTCTATGACTTTCAGTTACCATAGTCAGCTTCAGTCTGTGAAAACTGCATAGAAAACAAAAAGTAAAACAACGGATGTAAATCCAGCTGTATCAATAATAACATTAAGTGAGAATGGCATAGATTGGTATTATCTAGCTATATGCTGTCTACGGGAGATACCTTTTAGGTTCAAAGAGAGTTTGAAAATAAATGGATGGGAGCAGGCGTTGTGGCACAGCAGGTTAAGCTGCCCACCTGGGACACCCACATTCATATCAAATCCTCTACTCCGCTCTTCTGATCTAGCCCCCTGCCAATGCGCCCGGGAAGCTGCACATGGTGGCTGAAGACTCAGATTCCTGCCACCCATATGGGAGACCTGGATGGAATTCCTGGCTCCTGGTTTCAGACTGGCCCAGCCCCAGCTGTTGTAGCCATCTGGGTAGTGAGCCAGTGGGTGGAAGACCGATCTCTCTCTCTCTTTCTCCCTTTTCCCCTCTCTCCTTCTCTCCCGTCCCTCCCTTTCAAGTACATACATACATAAATCTTTAAAATAAAAAGAAGGTAAGGGGCTGGAATAAGACATATCATGGACACAGCAGCCTTGAGAAGGGTGATGTTTACTGTGCTGATACAGACAACAATAGTACTGGATAGAGAGGGGCATTTTATAGTGAGAAGTGGGTCATTCTGTCAGGAAGCTACAGTAGTCATCATACATGTAATAACAGCACCATAACACATGAAGCAAAACTGACAAAAATTGCCCAAAAATACTTGTAGACTTTAGAATCTCTCCTGCAACAATGGGTGTAACAAAACAGAATATAAACAGGAAAGTAGAAAATTTGAATAACACCATAAACCAACCACAACTAGCAGACATCTTTAAAATAACAGAAGATATATTTTTATGAAGTCCACATGGAACATTCTTCAAGATAGACTGTATGCTAGACCATAAAACAAACCTCAGGCCGGCGCTGTGGCTCACTAGGCTAATCCTCCGCCTACAGTGCTGGCACTCTGGGTTCTAGTCCCGGTTGGGGCACCGGTTCTGTCCCGGTTGCTCCTCCTCCAGTCCAGCTCTCTGCTATGGCCTGGGAAGGCAGTGGAGGATGGCCCAAGTCCTTGGGCTCTGCACCCGCATGGGAGACCAGGAAGAAGCACCTGGCTCCTAGCTTTGGATCAGCACAGCACACCAGCCGTATCGGCCATTTGGGGGGTGAACCAACAGAAGGAAGACCTTTCTCTCTGTCTCTCTCTCTCACTGTCTAACTCTGCCTGTCAAAAACAAACAAACAAACAAACAAACCTCAGTAAATCTAAAAGGATAGAAGTCATTCAAAGTATGTTCTCCAACAACAGTGGAATGAAATTAGATATTAAGAGCAGGAAAAAAATGAGAAACTCACAAGTATGTAGAATTGAAATGCACTCTTAAAAAGCCAGTGGATCAAGGAAGAAAAATAAGGAAATTGGGATACTTTGGGGTAAACGAGAATGAAGAACATAACACACCAAAACCTTCAAGATTTAGCTAAAGCAGTACTCAGATGGAAATGTGTCACTGTAAATCCTGTGTTAAGAGAGAGATCTCTAATCAATAAGCTAACATCCTCCCTAAGACACTGGAAAGACAATAGCAAACTAAACCTGGAGAAGACAGAAGGAAATAATAGAGATTGGATTAAATAATAGAGTAGAAGTAAATGGAGGATAGAAAAATAATAGAGAAAATTAACAATACCAAAAACTGGTTCTTTTTTTTTTTTTTTTTTTTTTGACAGGCAAAGTGGACAGTGAGAGAGAGAGAGAGAGAAAGAGAAAGGTCTTCCTTTTGCCGTTGGTTCACCCTCCAATGGCCAACACGGCAGGCGCGCTGCAGCCGGCGCACCGTGCTGATCCAAAGCCAGGAGCCAGGTGCTTCTCCTGGTCTCCCATGGGGTGCAGGGCCCAAGCACCTGGGCCATCCTCCACTGCACTCCCTGGCCACAGCAGAGAGCTGGCCTGGAAGAGGGGCAACCGGGACAGAATCCGGCGCCCCGACCGGGACTAGAACCTGGTGTGCCGGTGCCACAAGGCAGAGGATTAGCCTAGTGAGCTGGGGCGCCGGCCCAAAAACTGGTTCTTTACCATCTAGTCAACCCGTAAATTTGCAAAATAATAATAATGATAATAGTAATAAGCCATCATTGTATTTAAGCTACTAGGGTTTGGGTTTTTTATTGTACAGCAATAAACGAAAACAAGTTACTCCACACACTTAGATAAGTTTACGATGAATCATAGGTATAAATAGGGAAAGCTGATTTTTTTTAACTTTTAAGAGAATATGTGGGGTAAGAAATGGTTTTTTAACAAAACATGAGAAAGGACAGACCATAATCTAAATTGTGACAGTTTGACTACATTACAGATTTAAGCTTTTCTAAAACAAAAGGTATTATAAGTAAAATAAAAATACATGATTTAGACAGGAAGAAGATATTTAAATGCAAATAACTTAGATAGGATCAGTATTCAGAATATGTGATGGGCACTTACCCAGTTAGTAACAAAGACAATCCAATAGAAAAACAGACCAAAAAAATAGGGGTAGCCAGTGCAAATGGATAAAGCCAGATAGCTAACAAACCACAGTAAAGGACGTTCAGCCTCACGCCTAACTGAGAAGAGTCTTAGACTGTACCCTACTTGCAGGCTAACAAGTTAACCTGATAGTTTCATGCTCATCAGCAGAAGAAACAAAATTCCTGAATCAGACAAAAGGCTTTGCTACACTTTGCACAGCAAGCAGCATGAGCTGCATGTTTTTGTCATTTTTCCTGTTACATACTGCACATATAGGGTATTATGCATAGCTTAGGAATCCTAATCTTAGGGAACTCCATTGTTTGGTAAGGAGCTACACACAAACCTACCCAGCTTTTTTTTTTTTTTAAGATGTATTAATTTGGGCCGGCGCCGCGGCTCACTAGGCTAATCCTCCGCCTTGCGGCGCCGGCACACCGGGTTCTAGTCCCGGTCGGGGCGCCGGATTCTGTCCCGGTTGCCCCTCTTCCAGGCCAGCCCTCTGCTGTGGCCAGGGAGTGCAGTGGAGGATGGCCCAGGTGCTTGGGCCCTGCACCCCATGGGAGACCAGGAAAAGCACCTGGCTCCTGGCTCCTGCCATCGGATCAGCGCGGTGCGCCGGCCGCAGCGCGCCAGCCGCGGCGGCCATTGGAGGGTGAACCAACGGCAAAGGAAGACCTTTCTCTCTGTCTCTCTCTCTCACTGTCCACTCTGCCTGTCAAAAAATAAAAAAAAAAAAAAAAAAAAGATGTATTAATTTGGGCCGGCGCCGCGGCTCTTTAGGCTAATCCTCCGCCTTGCGGCGCCGGCACACCAGGTTTTAGTCCCGGTCGGGGCGCCAGATTCTTTCCCGATTGCCCCTCTTCCAGGCCAGCTCTCTGCTGTGGCCAGGGAGTGCAGTGGAGAATGGCCCAAGTCCTTGGGCCCTGCACCCCATGGGAGACCAGGAGAAGCACCTGGCTCCTGGCTTCGGATCAGTGCGGTGCGCCGGCTGCAGTGGCCATATGGGGGGGTGAACCAACGGCAAAGGAAGACCTTTCTCTCTGTCTCTCTCTCTCATTGTCCACTCTACCTGTCAAAAAAAAAAAAAAAAAAGATTTATGAATTTGAAAGAGTGACAGAGAAAAGGGGGAGACAGAGATTTTTTTCATCCATTGGTTCATTCCCCAAATGCCTGCAGTAGCTGGGGCTGGAGCAAGCCAAACCAGGAGCCAGGAACTCCATCCAGATCTCGCACGTGGGTGACAGAGACCCAAGTACTGAGTCGTCATCTGCGGCCTTCCAGGCACATTGGAAGCTGCACCAGAAAAGGAGTGACCGAGTCTCACGCCAGGCTCTGTGATACGGGATGAGGACATCCTACGCTGCGGCTTAACTGCCTACACAACACCCATCCCCTACCCAACTCCCACCCAACTTTTGCCTGGCAAGATTCCCTTTATTATTCTGTACAGTAATAAGATAAAAACCTTCCCCTGTGCTCTGGAAGGAAACACTATGTCTGTTCCCCCAGTCTGTCCACTGCATAAACATCCTTGGGAAGACAGTCTGCCATAGAAGCCATCAGTACTTCTGTATACCAGATGTACAGAAACACAAGAGACCCTTGGAGAATTGTCTCCCAGCAATTAGAAAATGCAGGTTCACGTATTTAGACCCCGTTTCACAGTGGTCTGTTGGCAGTTTGTAAACATGTACAAGTCCTAGTGTTGGACGTGAAGTAACAAGAACTCTCACAGGCTTGATGAGTGTCACCTGTCACGACCACTTTGTGATGAGCTTGGCAAGATCTGATAAAGTTGAAGTTACACGTACTTTACAATCCAGCAGTTCCACTTCTAGATACATACTATAAAAACTCCCAAGCATGCATATAATTAGATATGATTAAAAAACATTTGTTGTAGCATTATTTACAATGGCCCAAATTTTGTTTTATTAGTCTCTGTATTAGATTGTATGTCATGCTTGAAATATTTGTTAATTAAAATTAGATATGTCCATACATACACATGTACTTTATGTTGTCAAATGCCTTTGAAAGAACCATTTAAAGTATGTATATACTAAATAGTATACAGGTAATCTGTAGACTTCTGAT